CCGCCCCCGCCCCGTCTCCCGAGTCTACCGCGAATCCCCCCTTCGCTCCTCAACGACCCCCCTCACCCACCGCTCAACCGCAACCCGCAGCATATCCTCCCACCCCTCCTCCCGCCTCGCCACAGCCCTCGCATCAAAATATATCGGCCTTTCATTCTTCGGGAACTTCACACTATTCCCTCCCTCCCCTCCTCCCCCGCCTCTTCCGTTCTTCGCACCGTGCTTCCCGCCCTGCACAGTGACAGGCAACGGCGCCGCAGGTAAAACGAGCGGGAGCATATACCGGATCTTGAGCGCCGCGGCCCACAGCCGCAGATTATCCGTCCTGCGAAACGTCCACCCGCCCTTGCGCTCCTTCTCCCTTTCCTCCTCCGTCCCGCTCGCCGCGGCCGCCTCGAGCGCGACGATATCGTGGATCCCGTCGCGCGCGATGTAGCCCCACGGCTTCCTGCTTCTCCTCACGCCGACGTTGTACGCGACGCAGAGGAGCTGGCCGCTGCTCAGTGCGGTCCAGAGTTCGTGTGGGGGCGAGGAGGGCGGGGGGAGGTGCGATGAGAGGTCGGGCGGGAGGAGCGAGGAGAGCAGCGCGTGCGTGCGGTCGCCGGAGAAGGAGCGCCGGGCCCAGGGCGGGAGATCGTCGTCGTCGATCGAGGAGTGCTCGCTTCCTTCCCCGTCCGCACCCTCCTCGTCATCTTCAGCCTCCTCGGCGATCCCGTGCATCGAGCCCGGCTCCTCGCTCAGCACGAGCGACTGGAGGCCCTCGAGCATGCCCGTCGACACGACGCGCCGGCCGCGGCGCGTGCTCGCCTGGTACTCCTTGACGCTCCCCTCGCCGTGCACGGGCGCGCTCACGCGCCGCCCCTTCCTCTCCGCGCCCTCCCTCCGCGCCAGCCGCTCCGCCTCCCTTTCCCACCCCCGCCGCCCCCCCTCGCTCCCACGAAACAGCACCCCATCAACAGCGTCCAGATACCGCTCCACGATCTTGCGCTCGGGCTCGACCGTGCGGAGCGTGACGTCCTGGCGGTACAGCCACCCGCTTCCTAATACTAATCGTTGATCCCAGTGCTCGCCCTCGGCGCGCGGCTGCTCCTCCTCGCGGAACTCGTCCTCTTCTTCTTCCCACACTAGGATCGCGTCGGCGCGCCCGGGGACGTGCAGGACGGAGACGGGCGCGTCGTCGACTGATCCCGAACTCCTGCTTGCGCTCCTTGTAATTTCTGATTGAGGCGGCGGCGAAAGGTTGTTGGAGCGGGAGGGGATGTGTGGGAGGGGATGTTCAACGGGTGCTGGGGAAGAAGTAGAGGCTTGTTGTGGATGTGGATGTTGAGGGGCGGGGGAAGGCCCGCGGTCGGACGAGGCGTCGTACGCGTCGTCCGAGAGCGGGATGCGGCATGCTTCTTCGAGCGCGCGGAGGGTTGCGAGGACTTCGAGCGCGGAGCGGCGGATTAGGGTTAGGGGGTCCGTTGGGTCGTCTGGGCGCGATACCAGCTACACACATCACACGCTCGAATCAGCGATCATGATTAGGGATGAGGAATGGAGGGGGAGGGGAGGGGAAAAGACGTACGCGGCGTTTGGGTGAGCCTGGCGGGAGCGTTGAGGGTCGGAAAGGCGTGGGCGGGCCGGAGACGTCGTGTTCGTCGGGGAGGGAGAGGAGGTAGTTCCGCACTGCGCGGACCGCGCGCGTAGTCGCCTTGAGCACGCCCAACACATCGAGTGTCCTCTCCCCACCACTCTCATGACTCGGCCCTGCACCAAGTCTGCTCTCGTCCCTCCCCTCCCCATCCTCGCGAATAAACCACATCCGCTCAACGACCCTCAAATCCTCGATAACGCCCGGCCTTAAATTCTCCGGGTCGACCTCGATCGTGCGCACGTGCGGCGGGATCACGATGTCCTGGAAGGAGGATATGGGGTTGGGGATGGCGGGCGAGGGCGGGAGGTTGAGCGAGGTGAGGGAGGCGATGGAGGATTTGTTGCGCGTGTGGTCGATGGGGCCGAGGGCGGGGACGAGGCCTTTGCGCGAGGATTGGGCGCTGGGGGGGTGGGCTTGTTAGTATGTAGAGTTGAAGCGGGTGGAGGTTGAGAGTGGGAGAGATTGAGAGGATGCGTAGATCGATGTAATGCGCGTGCCACAATCCACGCAGCGAGCGCGATACACACGAAACGAACGGCGCGCGGCGATCACCGTGCCCGAACGACGAACAAGCGCGCGCGTAGATGACCGGACATCCACGAATACCAAATCAACATCTAGTTTCCAGTCTCCGCGCCTTTTTGGCGCGGTCTGCGGCTGGGAACTAGACCGCGCGAGAGATGGTGCTCGTGAAATGCGCGGTATCTCGACGGTCGATGCACCCGCTCATCGGGCGCGCGATGAGCTGCTGAGCCCTCCGCTGAGGGTGAACGTGACTGAGCAGGCGTTTATGACTGGGTATCGCGACGAGCGCGCATGGGCCTTTCACGTTCGCGGTGCTAATGCACAGCGTGTGATCGCACCGACGTCTTCGGCTCGATCTACGCCTGAGGATTGCGGCACGAAGAAGCCGGTGCCCATGAGCGCGCATCGTGCGTGGCATCCCGATGATCATAGAAAGCAACCCGCGATGCCAGGGCGCGGGAATCTACCCGCGCTGACGACGCCTTGACCGCGCGTATGAGTGCGCACAGTGAACTCTACAGCCGGCCGCAGAGAACCCACAGGCAACAGGCTGGCAGGCTGCTAAGTGTACGGCAGCCGATCGAATACTTGGTACTCGATGCGCTGCCGAGCACGGGTAGACTTGAGACGTTGCCCGTGAGGTCCGTCTGCGTGCGGGCGTACGGCGATCAACCCGGGTGTGAGGGCTCGAGATCGGCATCGAATAGCTCCACGCGCTGAGGGTAGAGCGAGCGCCTATCCATCCAGGCGCCCGAACACGAACCCGAGCCCGAACCCGAGCGCGCGCGAATAGGCGCCACATCGCAGCGCGCAGTTCATCCACGTCCATCCCCGATCCCATCCCATCCTCCCATCCAGCCCACACCGCTCTCACCCCCACATCGCCCAACACAGAACATAACGAATGCGAAAGGAATACAACGAGAACGAAAGCAAGGGAGACAATATGAAGAGAGGGGAAGAGCACTCACTCCTTCCTGGCCGCGATCCCCGTCTTGGTAAAATAATGCTGCAGATGCTCGATGCTGCCGAGCGCCATCACGCTCTCGCGCTTCGCCGCGCTCCTGGAAAAGGGCTTCTGCGGCTTGTTGGTCGAGTTGACGTGCGGGTAGAAGGCTATTGAGGGTTTTTTGTACGTCGACCCCTCCTTCTCCTTTGCTTGCAATTGGGAATTTGAAGAGGTGGATGTGTCGAGAGAGCTTGAGGTCGGGAGGGTGGAGAGCGAGGTGGAGATGTGTAGCGAGGAGGGCACGGAGGACGAGGGTGTGTCGGGGAGGCCGGTCGATTGGGGCGTTAGGGAGCGCGGGGTTGAGGATGAGGACGACATCGTGCCGCTCGTGGTCGTTTGGACGCAAGATGCAGCGCGATCGGACGCGGGTTGCATGGGTCGCGTCCGGGTTAATCATGATTATGATTATGGACTGGGGCGTGCGAAAGGGCACGTTCGGAGTGTATGGAGTTCTAGAACGTCGCGCGCACGACGGCTTGTCCGATGTCAATATTCAATCCTGCACTCTATGTTACCCGTATCTTCTGTGTAGCACGAACTCTACAGTACAAGTGTAGAACATATGTGTGGCCCTGATTCCGTCCACAACACAAACACAGATGTACTTCCGTCAACTCGAACATCGGGCTTAGCCGCCGCACGTGCCCCAGCCGCCGGTAAGCGGGCGCTAAGATCAATGACGGGCGCGCGTTCGCCGCAGCTGTCACCTCCTTCCCTCTTCCATTCACCCTGCCACCCACCATCTACATGCCCTCCAACCTCTTATCCTAATCCGGAGAACCAGAGAGAGAAGACAGAGCGATGGCAAACCCGAAAGAAAAACACTACTGGACCGCGCTCCGCACCGCCCTAACCTCCGGCGCCTGGTCCTCCCCAACGCCCGCAAAAGCGTACAACGGCCAGCCCATCTCATGGAACGAGTTATTTCGCAAGTTCAACAAGCATTGTGCGGGCTATGGCGAGGTGGTGGAGGTTGCGCGGGCGACGCGGGACGTGGGGTTGGTTGTTGCGGGGGCGTTGGGGGAGGGGGAGTTGGACGGGGATGGGGAGGGTGGAGAGG